ACACCCCCTACTGGGGATGTGCCCGCAACCAAGGTACATGCCCTTGACTGGAATCGAACCTGGGACCCTTCAGTCCCCAAGCCGACGCTCTATCCATTGAGCCAAACCGGTCTCGGCCATTAGGAGTTTCTGTTCTCTTTCCTAGCCCTCTCTATCTGCTAAGTTTTCTGCAGTGAGCTTTTCTATTTCATATAGCCCAGGAGGGCAGATGGCAGGGGTTTATTTTAGGTGAAAGGAGAGAATTAAGATGAAAACATCATCACTGTAATCCTTCATAATACTCTCCTCTTTCTTATCACCACCATCATTATAGCTGCTGTCATTTATTGAGCATTTACCATATGCCAGGCACTGGGTTAATTGCCTTTCAAACATGATCTCATTTAAACTTATGATGGGTTTTATGATTGCCAGCTTACACTTAAAGGAAATGGGGGCTTCAATTCATACAGCTGGTGCAGGACCGAGCTGGAAGGTAAACCGACTGGGTAGCTCAAAAATGATGGTTATAATCTGAAAATAGAGAACTAATTGGGGAGAGGGGAGAGAGAAATATTCATTAAGCACTTTCAATCAGCTAGGTATTTTACATGCATGGTTATATTTACTACTGTTAACAAACCTCCTGGGGGTATTTCTATTTTCACATTTCAGATGTAAAACTGAGGCTCAGCAAGTTAAATACCCAAATTTGCACTGATAATGGAAAGACTCAGAAAAAACTCTCTGTCTCTTCTCCTTCCCTTCTTGTCCCACCAAACCCCAGCTCTAGGCTGCACAGGTTAAAATCTCTACCTGTCACATTTTAGTCTTGGAAATTGCTCAATTTCTCTGTTCCTCAATTTCTTTACTTGTAAAATAGGAGTAATAACAGTATAGATGTCATAGGAATTTCGTGAGGATTAAATGACTATATGTATATAATATAAATAACCTAGAAGAGTGCCTAACTTAAATATAGTACTCTACTAGTATTAACTGCAATAATAATAATAGTTATTTTTAAACCTTGAAAGTAGATTAATTTTCTACTTTCCAAATTAGAAAAAAATGGAAAATGATTACTTTTATGGAAAACTGAAAGAGAACCAGTTGTTTCTAGTTTTTTTTCTCTTCATATTCTAGTTAAAAGGAGTGAGTTATATACCGTATCTTGTTAAATAGGACACTGGTAACCAGGGTTGGAAAGGGTGGTAGGTGGCCAGGATCTCAATCAGAGATAAAGACATTGGGGAGCGAGTGTCGGGGGCAGCAAGGGACGGACACTGCACTGGGCTTTTGAGTTTTTGTAGATGAAAAGGAGACTCAGAGGTCATTGCAAAGATTCTGATTAAATCTATTGCTTTTTCTTTGAAAGCCAACAAAATCACAACCACTACTGGAAACATTCTGAAAATGAAATACAAACACATTTGTACCGTGATGGGAGGCTTGTATTTGTGCCTAGAATACTGTGTGGTTCTGGCCTCTGTAAGCACGCTGCAGAATAATTTGAATAAAGATAGGATCCGAGGGGGAAAATGATGATGAAGGAGCTACCTCTTCAGAATTAGGACTCTTCAGTCCGAAGGAAAGCTGAGAGGCCAGAGAAGAAATCACAAAGGCAATGGATGCTATAGATACAGAATTATTCACCAACTCTGGGGAACATGTTGAAGGTAGCCTTAGAATGTCTTTAGGACACAAAATGCAGTGCAACACATTGGAGAGTAAACTATGACACTGATAAACTCCAGAAGCTATAAAAAAATAGACAAGTTTTAAAAAAATAGACAAGTAACATTTAAAAGCACATTATCTGAGTGTCCTTTATGATCAAGGCCTTGGCCTAGGATGGGTGATAAGGAAACACCCTAGAAGCTCAAAATCTAGAGCTATACATAATATAGTACAAAATATTATCCATGTAACTAAAACTATGTAAATGAGAACCAAGAAGTTAGTGGGCCAAGAGGAATCAGCATGGCGGTGGGAGGTGTTGACATTAGTTCACACAAGTGGGAGATATTATAATACCAAAATCTGAACTGAAAGTTGAGATAATTAGAATTCACATGATAGAAAGGAGATAAATGCAGGGAATTCCAATCAGAGGTAACGGCATATGAGAGGCAACCAATGAAGGGAATTTGGATAAGCTACACAGATTTATTGTTATAGGACCATGATTCTTGGAGAAGGCTGGGAGTTAAGTGTGTAGAGTGAGACAGAAGTCTGCATTCATTAATTTATTCAACAGGCCCTTATCAATTACTTATGTTGTACTAAGTACTACATAAGCATTAGAGGCAAAAAGATGAATGAGATTGAATATCCACCATCCATCTATTCATTAATACTAAATATGTGCTATGCATACATTAGATATAATGAGAAAGCAGCCATGCTGTCCTCATTAAGGTTACAGTTTAGTGTGGAGACAGACAGATGACTATTATAGTACTAGAGGCCTGGTGCACGAAATTCATGCACTGGAGGGGGAGGAGTGTCCCTCAGCCCAGCCTGCACCCTCTCCAATCTGAGACCCCTCGGGGGATGTCTGACTGCCGGTTTAGATGCAGCAGTTGGACAACCCTCTCACAATGTAGGACTACTGGATCCCAATGCTCACAGGCCTGCCTGCCTGATTGCCCCTAATCACTTCTGCCTGCCAGCCAGATCAACCCCTAACCACTCCCCAGCCAGCCTGACTGATGCCTAATTGCTCCCCTGCCAACCTGGTCGCCCCCAACTGCCCTCCCCTGAAGGCCCAGTTGCTCCTAACTGCCCTCCTCTGCTGGCCATCTTGTGGCAGCCATCTTGTGGCCACATGGGAGTGGCAATCTTGTGTGAGGACATGATGGTCAATTTGCGTATTACCTCTTTAATATATAGGATAGTATGGTAGGCACTATGGACACAGCACTCAAATCCATGATCGACATACTATAAGAGACCTCCTACCACTTAAGTCTGATCCTGTTATTCCCTGTTTAAAATCCTGTAGTGGCTCCCCCTAGGGCCTTTCACTTAAAATCTAAAATTCATAGTATGACCTCAAAAAGTCCTTCACTATTTGGCTCTGGCCATTTCTCCACCTCACCTTGTTTCTCACCATGATGCTGACCTATCTCCATATCCACTCACATACAACTCTCTGGGGTTATAAAATTGCCCTGTTACTTCATGATGTAGATAGAGATTTAGTACTTTTGCATGACTTAATCCCATTGCTCTTCTCCACCTTGTCCTCTCCAGCTCATTCATCAGGCTATTACTATTTTTCTGGCTCAGATACCAAATAGTAAATACATTGTGTCAATATCTTTATAGTGAGTTGAGAAATAAGCTCTTAATGGGTTTCGCTTGATTGCCTTCTTAATGGTCCTTGTTCCCCCTACTGTGTTGGATTCAGTGCCTTTGCTTACTCATTCCCATAGCTCCCTGAGCTAATTTTTCTTCGTTGCTGCGTTTTCAGTGTTTATGGCTGGTACAGTAAAGAAAGCTGATACAAGCCTTCATATCTCTGGGCTTCTGTAGTTAGAAACACACCATGAAGACAGGAGTTTCTGTTCTCTTTCCCACCCCATTCTAATCTTCTTGCTAAGTTTTCTGCAGTGAATCCACAAGACAAATGGAGAGAGAGTGGCAGTAATTTCCTGAGCATAAGATGGTGAATCTGCTATCTGTGCCAATCAACTCATTAGACTTCTAATCAGCCTGTTTTCCTGTCCATGTGGGGTTCTTCAGTAAAGGCAATGGGCAGTCAGGAACTTGGGAGTTGGGAGCATAGTGAGTTAACTGGGGCCATTCATATGAGAGCGTTTTAAGAACTTCAGACCACCAACTCAAGTAATGGGTGCCTGAGGAAAAAATCAGAGAAGTGGGGAGAGGACACAGGCAACCTGGGTCATGATTAAACTTGCCAATAAAACAAAGGCCTATTATTTGAATATCCACATTTTACCAAACTTAAAACAAATATTGCTTTATTGGTTTCAGAGAGAGGAAGGGAGAGGGAGAGAGAGATAGAAACAACAATGATGACAAAGGATCGTTGATGGGCTGCCTCCTGCATGCCCCCTTCAGGAGATCAAGCCCACAACTGGGGCATGTGCCTTGATCAGGAATTGAACTTGTGACTTCCTGTTTCATAAGTCCATGCTAAACCACTGAGATTTAACAAACTTTTAATAGCCTTGTATTTGTTACTTTATCATTTATGTGATCAACATAACAGAAAGAAGAATAGCTATTTATAAAGCCCAACCCACCTCCTTATAGTATCAACTCTTGATTTCTAAATACATAAGGAAATGTTCATGTCTAAAGACAAGTCTTAAAAAAAAAAAAAAGCAGATCTTCAGAACTGATTGGGTGCGAGCCCATGGCATGCACAGAGGGGCCAGGATGAGTGAGAGCGGCAGGTGGCTTTGGACTGGCGGTTTTGGCCTGATCCCCTGAGGCCACGCTGAGGAACCTCTAGTTTTTCATAATTTTATATGCACTAGAAGGTGTGTACTCTTTAACAAATACTGGTTTTCTTCATGCTTCATAGTTTTGAGATTCAGCACAAATGCTTATGTGGGTAGATAATTGTTTTATTGCTGAGTAGTATTGTGTACTGTGGATTACTACTTTATTTATCTGGCTATGATTTTGGTTATTTCCAGGTTTGGGGTATTATAAATAAATCTGCTGGGCATATTGCATTCAGTTCATTATCTAGAATTCTAGATGTATGTTTTACTAATCAAATTGTTATTGTTTAGGTGACTGGTTTACATGTAAGATATGCGGAACTGTGATCTAAAATGGTCATTTCCTTTGCCTTCCCACCCACCCACAGTAATGAAAATTCCAGTTTTTCTGCAACTCTGCCAGCACATACGATGGTTAATCTTTTTTAAATACTAGCCCAATAAATGAGTATAGTATTAAAAAAAAGAGGCAGATCTTGTTCTAAACCTGATCAGCCCCTAAATAGAACCTGTGTGCAATTTTGAAAATAATCTTTAAAGGGGAAGGCTCCCTAGGGAGCAACACATGCATATGGTGAAAACATGCAGGACATAGTGGTGCTGAAGGCTTCCAAGTCTGTGAGTCTGTGTGCTGAAGCTGTTTGCAGCTTCTTCTGACTTCGTGCTGCTGAGAGCTGCACAGCCCTCGGTCAGCGACAGATTTCTTCCCCTGTGGCCTGCTGTGACTTTCAGGTCTTTCATTATTTTAGTCATGCTGCTTCTTTGTGGTTCCCTGAAGAAGGAGCTGAGGCTACCAGTCTAAGCTTTACCTTTGCTTAGAGCTCAAGAGTTGGGACAAGAAGCAGAAAATAAAATCTCTTTCCACATACTTGTCTGCTTGATTGGGATTCTTATGGGCAAACCCAGAAAGCCACAAAGTCCCTGAAAAAAGTGATATTTAGAAATACGAATATTGATATGCCATGAAAAAAAATATTGTACATGTTAGGTAAAAAGGGGGAATGAAATATATATTTATGTAATTGTACTTGTGTTAAAAATATAACATGGGCAGGGTCTAAAAGAAACCATTAAAGGGGATTGCCTACAGCATTTGGGGATAATGGTATGAGGAAGAATGGGGTGTATATATGTGTGTGTGTGTGTGTGTGTGTGTGTGTGTTTTCATCACCTTGATTTCTCAAACTTAGTATATATCACCTTTTAAAAAATAAGATGAAAACAGGAAACCAAAGTCCAGGTGGTATTACAGCATGTGTCAGTGGTGTATGTCTTCTCAGGGTACATGAAACCTACTCACCAGCCTAGGATGTTCCAGCCACTCTGATAGAAGCTGCCTCATTTAGAGCACCATTTCCATGCCAGGTACTTCGGATACTCCCCTCGTTGAATCCCTGCAGCCCTGTAGGCAGGCAGGTACCACTGCTCATGTTTTCAGGTGAGGGAACATTAACTAACCAAACCGAGACCAGAGAGGCAGAGGTGTCGAAGCCCATAGCTGGCGTCCTCTGACTTCAGACCTAGTGTACTTTCCCCTACACTGGGCCGGCCACACCTCCATGATTGCAGATGTGTAGATTACATCCAGGGCCAAAGTACACATTTCTTCAATAAACACTTGCTGAATGCTTACCACAAACTAGGCACCCTGGCAAACCCTTGGGATGCAAATAAAGTAAGCGTAGTGAAGACAGGCAAGGAAACGTGAAGCCTACTATGAGATAAGAAGTGCTTTTGATGGAATGAAGCACAGTGAGCGTAGCGGCTCAGAGAGGTTATTTCATTGAACTTGGGAAGTTCATGGCAGTTTTCCCAGAGATGAGTCTTGGAGAACAAATGGTATTTAGCTAGGAAGAAAGAGGTCAAGCGTATTTCAGGCAGAGGGAACAACATGTCCAAAAGCACAAAGTTTTGAAAGAGCACTGCATTTTTGAGGAATAGTCAATAGTTGGGCATGTCTAGAGCATAGGTTAGTGGAGAGAAAGGAGGCCAGGAAAAGGCAGGACCTCTGTGATCGCACTAAGTTATTTGGACTTCATCCTGTGGCAATGGCAAGACCATAAAGGACTGAAAGTAGAGGAATGAAAAGATTAAACCTAGAGCTTAGAACAATGACTGGCAGGAGACTGAATTAAAAGAAATTGAGGTTTGAGGCTGGAGAACCAGCTGGGACAATGTCATGATTTATTGTTTACATGTTTGTGCACATACATGCACTTTTTAGCATTAGTGTGTGTGTTTTTTTCTTGAAATTGGGCTGCATCTTACAATCAATGGCATGTTATAAAAATTTAACAGGCAACAGTTTTCTCTCTTTTAGGCCCCCAAAGAGCAGTGAATCTTATAACTGATGGCGTCTCAAATTATATAAAACGGTCCAGGCAAGAGGTGCTGAGGGTCCAATGAGTTCTCTGGCAGTGAGACAGTAAAGATAAAAAGATTAGAGCACTATTTAGATTCTGATATGATATAGGTTATTAAGTAAAAAAAGATTGCACAACACTGGGTATTATACGTTACAAGTTAAAGAGAAAAAGGTGTGTGTGGTTGGGGAGATATAATACATACACACACGTACGTTTCTGGAGATGCATAAATTCTCTCTAGAATGATACACAAGAAACTGATAAAACTGTTTTCAGGGAAGGGCATAGGGTGCTTGAGGGAGAGCAGTGGGAGGAAAATTTTTCATTGTGTTTTATTTTGTCCATGTTATGTTTGAATTAGGTATTATACACTTGAAATATGTAAAAAAAAATTTAAAAATGGTATTTTATATGAGCACTTGACAAATTTGTTGACTGACTGTCTATAGGATAAGAGAGAGAGAATGTGTTATGAGTCTAGTTTTATTCTTTTAATGATTATCTAATTTTAAGTTTTAAAACAACTTTGAGGTATAATTTACATACCATAAACTCACCCATTTTATTTTATTTTCTGTTTTTTTTTAAAATTTCTTTAATGATTAAGGTATCACATATTTGTCCTCATTCCCTCCATTCCCATCCCAAACCCCTCCGCACACATGCCCCAACCCTCCTGTTGTCCTTGACCACTGGTTAGGCTCATAAAACTCACCCATTTTAAGTGCACAACCCACTGATTTCTAATAAATTTACTGAGTTGTGTTACCATTATCACAATAGTTTTAGGACATTTTGCTCAATAAGATCCCTCGTTCCCTCAATTCCCATTCCTATTCTAGTTGTTATCAGAGTACTTTCATGAGATCATTTATGAAAGCCGATTACAACTTTCTTTTGTCACTGCAGACTCAACCAAAAGTTACAGATCTCATAACTACCTTCCTAATTGCCTTCACAGACGGACTGAAAGATTTGCTCTAGCTGAACTAGTCTTACTTCATGGTGCTCCAGGGGACACACTGTCTGAGGCTGGGAAGCAGGTAGCTCTGGAGATGAGGTAAACCATCACAGAAGTAGCAACCTTTAACAAACTAAATACGGAAGCTATGTCAATATCAAATTATGTCTCAGTTTTATATCTTAAATCTTATCTGACCTAAATACCAATCCTTTTGGTAGAATATATTTTAGTGTTCTGTGATAACATAAACACAGAAAAATGGCCTTTGGTTATTAACTCTTCCTAGTGAATATTTTGTTTTCTTTCATCTTTCCTTCTAAAGTAACCACACATTGCATTGCAAGGTCTCCACCATTAATCCTTTTCAACACACACACACACACACACACACACACACACACACACACACCCCTTCTAGATACTAAATGGTCAGGGTCTAACTTAAGCTGCCATAGAGAAACTAAGAGAAGAGACTGAAAGGAAGAGGCAGACACACTATCTCAGGTTATAACAAACGGTTCCTCACTGCCTATCCCAGGGAGGGAGATATTTTGAATGAAAGTATCCTGGGCTGGCAGAGCAGGTTAAGTAAGTGGAAAACAAGGAAACAAGGTTCTGTTCTTGGTTTTCCATGAACTCTCTGTGGCACATACCTTAAATATTGTTAGAAGGGTCAGTTGGCTTCAGACACTGCAACTGGCCACTTGTGGTTACAATTCAGCTCTCAAACACGTTTGATGGGGCCCACAAACATGCAGCTTGCCTGGTGGTTCTCTGAGTGGACACTCAAAATGCAGGAGATTTTAAGTAAAGATCCAATAAAAATGGGAAGATGTGGCCACACTGGGCTTGTTTTCACATGGTAACAATTTTGGTCTGGTTGATAGATACTTCTTTGGTTAGGACATTTGTTCTCTCATTTGCTTCAGACCACATGCACTTTCTGTTGTTTCCCAGCCATTGAAATGACAGGTTTTAATAATGAAAAATAATTTGAGATGTGGAATCCAGAATGTCCCCATCTAGATCGTTTGCTCAGTTCATGATTCCTATAAGGCATTTGAGCTTGTAACTGTTTTTGTTTTCAATGGCTACCGTACTAAATTACCACACTGGCTCCTTTAAAACAGAAATGTCTTCATAGTTCTGAGCAGGAATTCTAACATGAAAATGTTGGCAGGGGATGTGCTGCCAGCAGAGGCTCCAGAGGAGAGCCCATCCCTCACCCTTCCCAGCAGAGCTTTCTTGGATTGTGGTGACATCACTCCACTTCTGTCTCCATCTCTATAGGGCTTTGTCCTCTTCCCCTGTGTCTCTCCTCTGTGTGTTTCTTATAAAGAAACTTACTGGACTTAGGGCTCACCTGGATCATCCACGATGATCTCATTTCCAGAGTCTTATTTTTTTCCAAATAAGGCCATGTTCCCAGGTTCTGGGTATGAAGACATGGGCATATCTTTTTAAGGCCACAGTTTAGCCTACTATAAGCTGGAGTAACCAAACTGGAGAATCCTGAAGGAGATTCAAACAGAATGAGGAGATGAGGCTGGTACCAATCACCAGGATAAAGAAATAGAATGAGGGCAAGATCAGAAAGAGCAATTGTGCCCTAAGTCTTAGTGTACCAAGAGGATCCAACAGCCTTAAACAACTGGCATCTTCGCACTTTAGGAAGTTGAATTAGGGCAGACTTAGTTTCTGGGATTCATCAATTTCACCTTGGCTTAACTTTATTGGTTTAATTGCTTGCTTGACCTTGACCATGATTACCTTAACTGGGTGTACACTCTACCATCTGCTTACTGCTTTCAGTTGCCTAAAGCCAAATGAACATCTAATAAAAGGTGAAAACTGAGACTAAACTAAGACTAAAATTTAAAACTAAACTAGAACTGCTAAAAGAACAGATGCTGAAGAGAATAGAAGAGAGGGGAAACTAAGTAATATATAAAAACAGGTCCTCATAGAACTAGTACCAGCTACTGTGGGGCAGGCGTCTTTGCTTAATGGGCATCAGAAGCCATTCCTCTCAGAAAGCCCCCATTTGTCTGTATTCAGGGATCATAGACTGTTACAGTAGAAAGGGCCCCAAGGATAGTCTTAGCTCCCATCTGAGACTTCAGTGGGAACAGTCAGAAACGTGGGGAAAACTGGGGCAGATCCGATACCAGGAGAACAAATAGCATACAATCCATTTAGAGCTTAGAAATTTTGCTAGTGCTTATTTAAGTATTTCTTAATGCATTCTGGTATTTTCCTTCTGGAGAAGATGTGTGTGTGTGTGTGTGTGTGTGTGTGTGTGTGTGTGAGAGAGAGAGAGAGAGAGAGAGAGAGAGAGAGAGAGAGAGAGAGAGAGAGAGAGGTGTATGTTGCAGAGGGGCACCCAGAAAACCATAAACCACCACCCCAAATATCCAAACCTTAATTGGGTATCCCCAGAGACACATAGTTGGAAGAGCTTAATGTTCCTGCTGAGATCTGGTGGGGAATTTTTACTGGAGCTGGTAACCAGGACAGCAAGAAGCCCAGCCAGGAGGCTGGTTAGAGGCTAACCTAAACAGCTTTGGCTAATTCTGGGCTACTGCTGGGGTTGGGGACGGGGGTGGGGGCAGGAAGAGGAGGGACAGTGCAGCAGCTGGCAGAGAGAAGTATCTGACATTCTTGCGGGCTGACATCAAGCTGCAAAGCTGCTGCCCTCTGGTGAGTCAACTGCAAAAGGCCCACATCGTTCGAGAGCTGCTGCCCAATCAGAGAAGGCGGTGCCACACCTCAGAAATCTCTCTAACCCTCTGCTTTCTCTGACCTTTAAGCAGAGAAAAAATGCAGAAATGATTACACTTATGAGAAGCATGGAATCTACAAGAGTAACAGCAATAATTAGGTTAACTTCATATTTTCTTGTGAAACAGTTTATGACTATGTACAGCCAACACTCTGGATTTTACTCATTTAAAAATATTTAAACTTTTCCTTTTGTGCTGAGGCAAGAGGGCATAAAGGGCACTGAAGGAAGCCCTGGTGCATTGTTTTATCTT